CATATTCAGAGACATTCCCTTGAGTATCATGCACAGTCCTCACATTTTCATTTGTTATTTGTCTGTTTGCTATGGAACTAGGCAAACTGAAATGGAAATCGTCAAAGAGGATATTCAAAATAAAACATTAACTTAGGATTTTAACTTACTTTGAAAATATAGGAAGATCTTAGTATCCTTAAAAATGTGATAGGAGCAAAGTATGAGTTTTAAAATGCTTAAAGGCAGTAGCAAATCATAAAGAAAATAACTTCTTATTTTGACACTGTAAGTATCCTGCATCAGGGATTCATTTAATTTCAAAATTGATTCTTCATCACTAAAAATAGAAAAGAGATCTACAAGGCCAATAGAGATTTATGTATGTTCAGTTTCAAAGAAAATACAAAAGCATTATTTTTCCAATTTACACTAAATCCTAGCATCCTTAATGTCTCCTGATGTCTAACCATAAAATGCAAAATGTATTGAATTACCTGGTGCATACACACACTCTCTCTCTTAGAAGTTAAGCTAACTTTGTTTGTGATATAGTTAAAAATTAAAATTCCATATAAAATTAGGTGTTTTATACTTATTTTTCATGACCACATTATCCCTAATATTCCCCTTATGAGCCCAGAATGGCATTGAGTTCAAATGACCATTTCAAAACTTCCCACTTATAATGCTTTCCACTAAAATACCCTTTGCAGGCACACCACCATATGTGGTTAATAAAGAAAAAAAAATGTTTTGACTCCAAAAAAAATGTAGAGAAGATTCCATTGGGATTTGTTCAATAAAGCTATCTCTGTTTTTAAGTAATGAGAAATCATTGAAATTTTAAGGGTGTTTGCTTTGGTTTCTTTATTCTGAAGTTTCATCATTATCTGAGGTATTGAAAACTGACCCCCTATGTAAACCAACCTTTAGGTGGCTGTCCAACCAAAGCTCCTAGACTCTAACTCTCAGTAAAGCTTTTTTGCCCAGATCACTTTGCCAGAAGTTAAACTAACACAGACATTTGGGAGGTAGAAGCTATTAAAAACCTGATGCCCCGCATCCACCTAAGAAGTCCACATTTTCCACTCTGTGCCAGACTATCGACTCGCAGTTGCCCCACCTCAAGGACTACTGCCTGTCACAGCGAAGCGTGCCGAGCTGTCCAACTCCCCATCACAAGCTTTCTCTTCTTCCACTTAAATAATCAGTGCTCCCTTCCTTTCCCTTTTTAAAATGTGCCTGTTTCAAATTTGTATTTTTTTGGAATATCTAATTTCAGTTATGTTCTTTCCCTCTTTGGCCTCTTCCCACATTTCACATACCAGACAAATATTTAAAGGTCTGTAATGCCAGGCAAGTTTCCAATATATTTCTAAATGAAACTGCCATAGGTGACAGAACCGGGAAGGAAGGCAAAGCTTGTAGGACAGAGACACGAATAACTGGCTGAAAGTCCGCTGGAAAATCTATTTACGTTGCTGTAGCCATGGGTGAGGTTTCAGTGAGGCAGAAACATTCAAGTTACTGACAAAACCAACATGATCCATGATTGCTCAAAACAGTCTTCTTGTCACGGTGCATTGCTCTTTAGTAGTAGCTGAAACAGTAGTAAGTCGCCACTCTCCCTTTCTCTAACTTTTTTCTTTTGTTTAGTATTCAGGAAGAGAAAGCATTTAAGAAAACATTCAAAATTCTGCGAATATGTAAGTGAAATATTTAATGTCTGTTATTCATAAAAGTTACATCATTTACATAGGGTCCATTTGTATATAATAAAAATTTTATTATAACGAAAGTTTTTCTGGAAAGTATTTCATGTTAATTTCTTCAACATATGCTTTGGATATACAGCTGAACAGGAATTGTTAAAAAAATTCTTTCTTGAAATATTTCCTTCACAATTAAAAAACCTCATTCCTAAATGATTTTTCTTTCCACCTGCTCCTTTGTTTGTAATATCAGTGTAATGTGAACTATACAAAGATTGGCTTTTTTGATAGTTCAGAATATATTTGTTCATTGCATAGTGAACACATAAACGCAGACAGGATCTACATATTTTATCCTAATAATCTAAAAAAATTGCTGAAATTTTACACAATAATTTATTCTGAGGTTTATTTTTGTTGTAATTTGGGTTTACAGTTTTATTTCTTGCGTATCAACTAAATATAAAAAATAAGCCATGAAAATGAAAACCCAAGTAATCTCATCCTAGACTACCACAACTTCACCTCATTGTATGGTGTGAATTCTTTTCTAAGTATAACAAGTTGTAGGTGTAGAGTGCGGCCTGTTTAAGATAGTGTTCAAAATTAATTTCAACAGTGTGTGTTTAACATAAAGTTAACTATTTTTGAATCAAATAAAATGTTTATTAATGAAAGCTATCATACAAGAAACAGCAAAGATAAGTCATCATTACAGGGATGTACACTAGAGGTGACAGATGAAAAAGTGCATGCAGAGACTTCTGTTTAAAAAGAATAAACGATAATACTAAAATTACTGCGTTTTGATCCCTATACTCTTAAATGAGTGATAGCTTCTCTTTGAATTTACAACTGGAAAATGCCATTAACAGATAGGACTAATACACATTAGCAAGCAGGTGAAATGAATGTTTCTGGACTTTATTTTACAACTATTGTGCTTGACAAATGTGTGGGATTTTTTTTTTTTTCAGTAATAGTCTTCTCCAAATATGGAGTGGGCCTATTACTGCCAGGTTGCTCTGCTTTATACATAGTTTATCTAATTTTTTAAAAATCACATAGTTTTAAGCCTTCATTTGTGTTAGACATCATAAAGAAACAGAAGTTTTGTTAACATTCAATAAATGACATTTAAGTCTCACTCTCTCTCTCTATCGTTTTTTTTGTTTTTTGGCTCAATAAATTTTTAAATGTATGATTATCATAACCTAATAGTGTCTTTGTCTTCACTGCAGTGGATTTCCGATCAAACTTTTCCCCTTCTTTTAATACTTTAGGGAATTTTCAAACGTCGGGATGTTTGGCTGTAATGCCCCAAGATTTGTTCTCCCTGAAAAAAATCATAGTGACAATTTATTAACTACAGAGCAACTTGGCTTTTAGGGGTCTGCAATTTCTATTTAGACTTACAAATATTCATTTTTGCTCAATAGACCTAACATTACCTCTTCATCATATTTAAGGTTTCTTTTCATGCAATTACTTTATCTGCTAAATTTATTTTTTATTCTGAAAATTGGAGTCAAATTGGTGGGGCATTACTTTTATTATAAGCAAACATATTTAAAGGTAATTCTAGGTGGGATGACATTGCATATGCAATGGTGTGTGTAATTCATATGACTCAGAAGTCTGGAAATCAAAATTGGAAATCTACTATTGTATGTTGGAACACTAAAAATTATACTACCATTTTAATAGCTTTTACATATAGATAGCAAAAAGACACTAAAGCCAGTCAAATTTAAAGAAAACTGATGGGAAATAAAACTCCTCAGATTCAAAATGGTTTATTCACACAAATTTAATAGGATATATCACAATTGTTTGGTCCATAAATATTTAGGGGAAATAGTTTCTATACAATGCATTTCTCAATAAACAAAGAAACATGGACAATTTTGCTAGACCACTTACTGTACTATAAACACGAAGCTCAATATATAAGATTATTGAATTTATCAACTATATTTGAAAGAGTGCACAACTGCTTTCTATGACATGTTTGTCCCCTCTAACAGGATACACCATAAAAAGAGTTTCAGAAATAAGAGGTAAAACAGTACAAAACTAGTGAGGTGGCAAAAGGGCTTAAAACAGTTAATTTAACAAACAACACATATTATCCTGATTCTTCACAAACTTACTTCCAAGTTATATCATAAGGCACATAGGAGAACTGAGTTATAATGAGTCTACTTAATAAAGTAGATCTATAGTACCATATATTGTTCTGTCAAAGAACAAAATTTATAAGTATCAATATTTTACCTGTAAAAGTGTATTAATAAGATCTCAGCCTTACCAAGGTTGTTTGGTCTGGTTAGTGGTAAATGCCCAAAATGTAATAGAAATATGAAAAGTCAAGATTTAAGCTCCATATAAGATGATAACCACACTTGCTAAATATATAATGGCAATCACACCTTTCTTCTGTTACAGTGTTAACTTATCTTCCATCATCTTTTTTTAAAAATAAGCTACTTTCTGTGCTAATTTTCTAAAGACCCTGAGCAAAAGTTACAATAATGCACTTTAATGTGGGCAGTGAACTGTCAATATGTAACCACACCTTTATACAGCCAGAGGATACCTTTAAAATCTATTAAATAGCCACCTAGACCACCAGAGGAGATTTAAGGTGTCCAAAAAAGTGGAGAATATGTGCAAAGTTATTCTTAACAATCCACTAAAGCAAGACATATATCTTGACTTCTTTTTTATTTTTATTTTTTTAGGATCCACAATCTAATTGGTATTTAACTACAACAGAAGCATATAGATGAACATTCACCACTGCCCAGACCATTAAGATTTTACCTTAAATTAAAAAGAAAAAAATGCTACTGTAAACTAGGAAATATATTCAGATCAGCATCCACCAGGCCTCTGAGTTTATCTACTTTACAACTAATTTCAAATCTCTAATGTCAGAAAACTTTATATATATATATATATATATATATATATATATCAACATATACCAAAAATAAAATAAAACAAAACAAAGCCAAAGAATTATAACTGTTGGTGTTACTTTAAATCTTTTTTTAAAAATTATTCATATAGAATGTCAGATACAATATCATGGCACAGCTGAAGCCAATTAATTTTATTAAAGCATACCAAATTTTTTGACTTCTTAAAAAATTATATTTTGCTTATTTCCATTTTCCCTAGGAATAAAAGTAAAGTGGAAAGGCGTCTCAGACCTTTGTAGGTTTGTTGTTGTTTGTTAGGTGTTTTTCTGTTTGTTTTCTTTTTTAGCTTTTGGAGATCAAAGTATAGAGCTATAAATTCTGATGATACACAGGGAGTTTGATCTTTTTAAATATTGAAAAGGAAATAACTAAGTAAAAAAATGGGGACCGTCATCCCTAAAAGAAGGAAAAGCCACATTTTGGACTAGATTTCCCATCTAATTAATCATCATTATTTAAAATTACTAGCACTAATGTCTTTGTTAAATCACATTCTTCATTTGAATTAACAGTTCAGGTAACAAATAGGAACACTCAGTACTTTTGCTTAAGTTTCAAAACTTTTTAGCTGTGAAATTTTCAAAGTTCCATAATCATACATACAGTTACAAGATTTTAAAATTAGCTAATCAATTATCTGATTCATTGTTCTAATCACTTAGGCAGAATTACGATTACTTGCTTGTGATTATACCACTCTTTTTTTTTTTTTTTTTCTTCGAGATTCTGGAAATAAGTAACATACAATTTTAAGAGGCACTTATTAGAATGATTCAAAAACTCCTGTCACCAACTAAGAGACCTAATTAAAGAAAAAAAAAAAAATCCAAATACACTTTGTAGACAAACTGTTTCTCACAGGAGACAGAGCTGTAAACCCATTTGCCAAGCGGGATGCTACACACCAAGCTGTTCTGTTTATTCCCCAAATAGTTTATGGGTTAGAAGGGAAAAAAAAAAAAGTCTTGTAAATAATAAAATAAGAATAATTAGAATAATAATAAAAAGAAGAGGAAGAGTGTAAAAAAATAATAATAAACCAATGTTAGAAAAGGTTCGTTAAGGTAGTTTGTGAGGGGCTTCCGGATTCGTGGCTGTCCATGTTAGAGGTCACAGATGTCACTACAGTGATAGTGGGATTGGTCAGGTCTGTTAAAGTGGTCGCAGTGCCGGGTGGTGTGAGAGCTCCGCTGTCTGCTGAGGGCGGGGCCGGAAGCGACGCGCCATCGGCTTTATCAACACCCCCATTCTCCTGCCGCAAAAGGTTCCTTCTGAATTTGGCTCGTGCGTTTTGGAACCAAACCTGCAAACCAATCCCAATTGATTTCTTTACCGATGTTTACTTTTAGATATTGTTTTCTTTCTTTCTTTGTTTCTTTTCTTTTTTTTTCTATGTCCTCTTTTTTTTTTTTTTTTTTGAAATATTTCTCCTTTTAAATATAATTGCCTATTGTCCTTCGGAGGGAAAGCGTTGGTATTTCCCACCCCCCTTTCTTTGAAAACATAGTAATTCTAGTAAAACTACAGATGTATTCTTTATCAGCTGCACATACTCCCCCCAGCCTATTTGCAAGGTCATCACATAAGCATTACCAAGTGCCACTTGGGACAACTGATGCTTAACTGGAGGTACCAAAGAAATACAGGCTCAGAGATAAAGGGGGGAGATACACCCAGATTCCACAATAGTTGTCTCTTGGGAATGAGAGATGCAGGGCCACTAAAAGTATTACAAAGTAAAAACCACTTAAATGATGTGAACATCATTGAAACGGCTTAAGCTACAAGAGTGAGTAAGTCCTTGCAGGCCACAGACTCAAGACAGCCAGAGAAGACCTAGCGAAATGTAAAATAGCTGTAATTTGATCCCAGCTGGTTGCAGCAAGTCACTATATTTCACAGTTGTATAGCCTTACCATGATGAATTCGGGGAGGCATTTGGACAGAACCTCCAGTCTTTAATTATGATGATTTGCTAAAATTGAAAAAATGCTTCCTCCAATTGGTTGCTGTGATGCTAACTATATTTTGGGCTTTTCAAGAGTTGAGGGGAGAAGAAACTCTAAATGTGGAAGATCACATCTGGGTGAGGCTGCCCAGAGCATGCTGAAGTAGGACAGCGCCAGCAGATACCTCACGTCCTGGTGCCCTGAGCCGACTGTGCCCAGAAATCTCTAGAGGTAGGACTTGTGCAAATAACATCACTTGAATTTGCACAGCAGTGAGGCAAGCTGTGCTTGCTTTGGAGAACCTCTCCCCATCTGTAGGGAAACGAGGCTATAACTTATAAGACCCTGGGTCGGTCTGTCTCTCTCTCTCTCTCTCTCTCTCTCTCTCTCTCTCTCTCTCTCTCTCTCTGAGCACCCTTCAGCAAGCCCTTGCAGAATCTCAGCATACCCTCTATGGAGATAACTAAGATAAATGAACAAGTTGCAGAGCAAGAAATATTCATACCAAACTGATAGGGAAGAGAACTGTTCACTGGCAAGGGGAAGGGAAATGTATGTATAGCCAATGAAGAGGCATCTTACCTGCAGAACTCTTTTGGTCAGGCCTGTTTTCTGAGCAAGCTGCTTGAGGTCCTTGGCATCTGGGTTGTGATTGATGGCAAAGTAGGATTTCATGGTCCGGAGCTGATGGTGCTTGAAGGAAGTTCGCATGCGCTTGGTCTTCTGGGAGGGTGGATAAGGCTGCTGGTCCCGGTCCAAGTGGTCTGCCTCATTCTCATTACAACCTGTTGCAGTAACAGGGAACAAACAACTGCTCAGTAGAGATTCCTGCCTGAACTGAAATGATAGCGGGCTGCATGGTTCTGCTATGATAATAAAGCGACTGAGAAAAAGACTGTCATCCCAATTATGATCAGTTCATAGACAAAAAGGAGTGCATTGCCAGAGTCAGGCAAACATGTCAGTTAATGTAGACACAACTGGAGGTGCACAATAGAAAGATATTAGATATTTCTGTTTGCTTAAAGAAATAGAAAGATATTAGATATTTGCACAATAGAAAGATATTAGATATTTCTGTTTGGTAGAAAGTGTTGCGAAAGTTCATAAATCCTAAACAGGAAGTGGGAATGAGAGTGACGTCCAAGAGAAAAGAAAGAAATCCTTTCCTCAAATACTTATGTATGTCAACCACCCATGCCCGCATTCGTACACTATTTTAAGACTATGTTGTGTTTGTGTTTCTGGAAGACGCCTGTCTGAAGGCATTGCTGTTCATCATGTAGGATGTGTCAAACAAGTATTGGAGCTCTCAACCCTGAAATTTGTGAGAACCCACCAACTGTAAGGCAGTGTACATCATTTCCAATTTTTAGCATTTTCTCACATTCTTAGAGCTTCTATGATCAGGAAGAAGTTTAGAAAGGGCTAGAAAAGAGTGACATATGAGAAACATTGTCCAATTTCATAGGAAAGCATAAAAATATATTTCAGGGCTTTTAAATAAAAGCCCTTTTTAAATACAATGGGTTAGCATAGGGTTATACGGGAAGAAAATTTTTTTCCCTTGGAGTTATTCTAATAAATATTTCTGATGAGAATAAGCCCTGGGCCAGGGAGATGGCTCAGTGGAATATGTGCTTCCCTGGCAAGCACAAGGGCCTGAGTTCAATTCCGGTTCCACCACAAAAAAAAAGAAAGAAAGAAAGAAAGAAAGAAAGAAAGAAAGAAAGAAAGAAAGAAAAAAAGAAAAACAAAGAATAAGCCCTGCCTTCTTCTATCTTGGATCATGCCTGAAGTGTTCCACACCCCTCGCAGCTGAGAGATGCTCATGGTGCTTATCCATGGGCTCAGATCTCGGCCCCTTTTCCCCTGAATGCATATGAGTGGACTGTGAGCTGCGCCCCTGGCTAATCTGGCCGAGATGACTGCATCTTCTCTCCTCTTCCATCGCCCTCCTTGTCAACGAGGGCAAAACAAATCAGCATTTGAAACCAGCTAAAAAGCCATCATCCCTAGGATAAAGCTGTACACTTAAATGGTCACTTCCCCAACCTACTGGTTCCGATAGGAACTATGGCTACAAAATGAGAACATTTCACTACTTACTGATTCCACCAACTTTGCAAATTCATGGGCATGTTTTTTTAAACCTGTATGTTTTATGTTTACCTGATGCATATTTGTAACTGGTCACTTTCCCTTTCAGTGTATTATTTTAAATCAAATTTATCATGTCATTCATGGGGGGAGGAACTTGAATACTGAAAGAAGAATGCTGCGTCTCCACAGTGGCCCTCCCATTTTGCTCAATAAAGTGTTAACTGTCTGCTATGGTCTGCTTAGAATTACCTTTTTAAACTCTCTAGCAAATCAATGTATGTACAGGTATAGAGACATTTTATAGTCATCAACCAAGAAATTAGCTGCATACAAAATTCATTTCAGAAGAAATTCCCCATAATATAATAAGAAATGAACTAATGTTCCTTGGTTTATATTTTTATAAGATGCCTCAGTGGGAAGACATATATTTGGCAAAGAGCAGGTGAGTTTTATGAGAGAAAAAAATCTCTATCATATTACATTTGGGTTCCCTGAGTCAAGCACAGAGCCAGAAATGCAAGAAGCATTCATTCAAGATTTTAAGTCCTTTGTTCATCAAAATTACAGGTGAATATTAATGTAACATCAAACCCAATTGAAATGCAATCCAGCTAGATAAGTACATTCAAACAAAAGCTTTTTTTCTCACACCCGAAATAGTAACATATACCCAGAGATAACAGAAAGAATATGCTTTACATTTTATTCCATTTCAGCCCAGTGGGAATATGTCCAGTTCAAATAGTCTACAGAATTGTACTTTCATATTCTCAAATGGATGAAGCAGCATCTCATGCCAACTATAAAACTATACTTATTTCTGGTAAACTGAGCCATATTTCACACGGAGAATATAAATGTGCTCACAACAAAATGGTCAAAGAGGCACATGTGGGTCATGAAGGCTTCTTCAAATAAGATTTCATTCCTATCATATGGGAGTAACGTTCCTGAACAACACGTCAAATTGAGTATATTACACTGAAGGCCAAGGCCTGAACCCAGCATTTAAATAATGCTGTTACCCCTTCTGTCTGCCCTACCGTGATATTTCTTAAAAATTAATATGATTCCCAAACTGTGTAATCATTGGTCTTTAAAGTGAATTTTATGTAAAGTAAGTGCAGTAAGATTTGATGAATTTCGTTCATGAGTATGTACTCTACCAATTGTTTGTGATTTAAAACTTAGGGTTTTAGTGCCTTAAGTAGAATTAGAGGGCCCCTTTCTACCTAAAATACATAATTCAATGTATAAAAGATCATCAGATCTTCACTAAACAGATATTAATGTATACAAATTTCATGTGACTATGTTATCATTTATACTATACTACTATATAGAGAAATATATTTCTTCCACCAAGTAATTCAATTCACCATTCTAAATTATATGGGTTTTGCTATAAATGCATTAAATAAACTTGCAAATGATTGTTTCCCCATGATCCAGAATTTCTAAAGCTTTAGAGGTATTTCCCTCCTGAATTAAGGAATCTAGTAACTTTTTAAATTGTCTCAAACTTCCACCATAAGCATACATGTGACATTATGTAAATTAATGAAAAGATAAGGAAGATTTATTTTTAGTCACTTATAGATAGTCCTCTACGGAAAGGAGTTTCTTTCTAAAGGTTTGTAACCTTCTGAGAATTAAATGATTTCAGAGAGACCACTAGGGGTCAGTGCCAGGCTAATTTAACAACTGGGCACTTACTAGTTGGGTAGAAAGAACCTAAGGGAAGCTTTTGAGAAGTGGCAAAAAGTGAGTCTCTTAATTATTGCCAACATAATTTCTCTATCTTAGACTACATCTTCTCACCCTGTGCAGCTTTATTTCAATCCAGTATTCCAGACAAACATTCCATGTCTTTTTTCTAAAATACTTGCTTAATATGCACAGAGGCATAAACTAAATTAGAAACATTCACGTGAACAGCATTTGCCTTATTTCAGAGAACAACTGTACGCTGTCAATTTTCACATCTCTTAGACCCTTTGAATTATAGACTTCTTTTGTATGCACATTGTTGAAAACATATCGCTATGTAAAAGTATATTTTGTTTCGCATCAATGGTAGCCTTTATGAGTTTACATTTAAACAGAAATGGCATTGTAAAACCCAAGAAAGCCTAAAATAGTTAGTTGAAACAATGAAAAAGAGCCCATTTTAGTTTCTGTCATTTAATATGTTTTTAACTTGATGAAGGATTTCCCTAGTTTTGCAATAAACTGACAGTAGATTTATAACACTGTTAAAATGAGGTGGGGTTGGTATCTGGTGACTCAATTGTTCTAGATTATTTTTGCCTAACATTAAAGAAATATATTCTACTTGTTTTTATCTCTGGTAAAAGTCCAGAAAGGATGGAGTGAACATTCATTAAGAGGGCAATGAGTGGGGCACGGGCTCTTCAGTGAGGCAGCCCCAGGCAGCTGCCCTCCACCTGAGCAAGACACCAACTTGCTCACCTACTTGTGGCAGCACTGATTTGCACAGTAAAGGTTTAAAGTGGTTCAGGAAGAGATCTTCATTTTTTTTAAGACAGAAATTTGTACTCTAGTTCTCTTCTGAGAAGTTAAGAGAAGCTGAATTTTATTGTTTCTAAAGCCCCTTGGATCTTAGTAACACAAAATAAGATCCGAGGCAAAAATCAAATTCAGCTAATTAGATTAAATAAACAGCAAAAAGCCTGACTTGCCTGCAGTTAACTAGAAACCTCCACCCTTCTGAACTTTTATGAGACTGAGATCCTCTCTCTCTAGAGTCCTCTAGGACCCTAGGTAAGGTTCTCATTCATATTTCTCTCTCTGTCTTTCTCTCTCTTTCATCTCATCTCATCTCTCTCTCTCTCCTCTCCTCTTCTTGTCTCTCTCTCTCTCTCTCTCTCTCTCTCCCTCTCTCCCTCTCTCCCTCTCTCCCTCTCTCTGGCATTAAGGCCTGGTGAGTGGCTTGACATTCCAATGTCATCTTCTATTAATAAAGAACAATTAGTATCCTGCCTGTCCTGCCCTGGGGAACTTGCATCAAAGGAGATGAAGTAAGTGCGCTACACAAAGTGGCCCCTAACGAAGCCACTGCCCCAGCACAGCAGGGGCCAGGGAGAAAGGAAAAGGCAATGCTGCCTGCTGTGGCTGCCTCTGCCCAGGGTTGGAAAAGCCCAAAATTGTGCCTACTGCCCTCACACCAACTGATGCTAGTGGGCGCTATGTGGAGCCGGTCCACTCTTTCCTCTTCATCCAGGCTACCCTAGCATGAACCTGCTCAGAACAAATACAGCTTTTCTGGGTTCTGTGTCCCCACTCTCTGAAATGCTACCTGCTTTGATTGTCCAGAATTAATGCATCTGATTCAGAAGGGAGGAAACCTAGGGAGAGGGCTGGGAAGTGCTTTCGAATCCTACAGCCTTGCCTGGAAAGCTCTCCCCTCCATTTATATTGGCTGTGTGACCTTAGGTGGATCTTTAACTGGCCAAGCATTGTTCCTTTGTCATGCAACAACAACATCATGCACCATGCCAGGCACTAGGAACAGAAAGAGAAAAATAGGCACAATGTATGCTCTAAGACACACAAATTTGCCAGTGTATCTAGGGAGCTCATGGGGATGAAAGTAGAGTTGCCAAAATAATGTGCTCCCCAAGGTTCCTTCCCATAGAATGGTCTCCCTGGCCTCAGTCTCTTACTTACTGAGATTCTCAGACAGGTCTTGGCCAGAGCATGTGGAATTGGAGCAATCAAGTCCTTATGCTCTCCAAAGTTAGTGAGGACTTTTTACTCTTTTCCCATGGGCTGGGACTCACTAGAAGAGCTTCTGCCTTAGAGGAAGGCTATGGTCCCCAGGGCCTGTCAACATCCTTACCTGGGAAATGGGAAATGGGACCGGGCCACCAAACAATGGAAATTGATGTATGGGTGTGAAACAGATTGGGAAGGAAGTGTACTCTCAGGCTACTCCCTGAATTCTGTTTTTAATCAAACGAAGGCTATTGGAAGACAAAAGAGCAGCATGAGATCCCACTGAGGAAGCTTAGACTCCAGGCTTGGAGTCTCTGTAGACTGGCCAGGGTCTGGATGTCTGGATGCTCTGTCATATGGGTACAAGTGGGCTGAATGAAAGCCTGACCTTCCAGAGACACAGGCCAGCTCAGCAGTGGAGAGATCCCTGCCCCTACCAGTGCTTTTTGCCAAGATCAGGGATTCAGGTTTTCAACACTTCTGCCAACTATGTTGCTGATTAAATTCGGGCTGGTGAGTATAGCCTCTGCCCCTCTAGACAGACTAGGGTTGGGCTCTGAAGCCCCTCCCCCCTCCAGTATTTAGGAAAACTCCTCCTGGATCTATAATTTGGCTTCCACAAAGGAACTGGCCTGGGGCTGTTTTGCTCCAACTGGGAGCCAGAAACTAATGGGCTCATTAACTAATGGGCAACCAGGCTTTGGCTCTGCCTGTTTGGGGGAAGTCACTACAGCCGGATGGTTTTGAATGTGTTTCTTGCCATAACCTCAGTGAAGTGTGGCCTCTTTCCCTGTTTCGGCCCCTCTTCCTTCTTTCTTCACACTGAGGAGAGTGAGAACAGAGGCAGGCGTGTTGGACAGAGCATCCTCTTGCAGCAGACCTTGGACAGGCAAGGGACTCAAGCCTCCTTGGGCACCGGGTGGGTAGGGGCAGGGACCCACCTGAGTTGTAATTGACGATGTCCACTCCCAGCGCCGGGCTCTTCCGCTTCCGGGGCCGCCCTTTCTGCACTGTGCCGGTGCCGTTGAAGTAAGGAAGGGCCAAGCTGCCAGTCTTGGCTGCCAGCTCGGTGTAGCTCAGCTGCGGTGGATACTCTCCTTGCAAGAGTGTCTCGAAGTGGACGCGGCAGTACACCAGGCTGTCCTTCATGCCGAAATGATCGCCCGTGGTCAAAGTCTTGTTGCAGGTGGAGCAGGTGAAGCAGCTCAGGTGGTAGACAGAGTCTCGGGCGCGCATGACCATCTCAGAGGCAGAAATGCCAAGGTGGCAGCGGGCACATCTCTGCACAGAGAACCTTCTGGAAGGAAACCGAAGAGTCAGGGCTCTGGTCAATACAAGGAAGGTCATCTCCCACCAGAGCAGTACCCAGGCTCTCCAGAAGGTTGAGATATGGGGGCCCACTTTGGACATTAGTTTTATTTGTTCATTTAACCTCTTCGTTTTCTACAGCACCTGGGTAAATATCCTCACAGTAAAGAAAGAATTGGTTGCCGAGCTTCTATTTCTTTCTCTACAAAAATATTTCATGAAACCTCCCCCACGGTATCTATTTCACAGCGCTACTGAAAACATTAAATTGTAATGCCAACGTGAACAGTTTCCTCTACTACACAGTATTCTATGAAGGAAGATATCCCTTAAGAGCTGGGCCTCAAAACAGACAAACTTGGGTAAGGGCAGTATTGTGGAGGAAAACATATTCTTCTTCCACCACTTCTCTTGCATCCATTTAGAGTGGAGTGAGATCACCTGTACATGGTTATGTCTGTCCAATCCAGAAGTACCAACAAACACTACTGTAGTTGTTTTCTCTGTAGTCGGGTTCAAACTAACAGTAAAGGGAACCCTGAACTGAGAGACTTGGGTTCAGGCAGTTGCGTTTTTACTCCTTGTCACTGCCACTGATGAGGTCAGCGGTTTCCCAACCCATGCACTCGCTGCTGCCGGGGCCACCAGTTCGGTTCCCAAACTCCTAAACTGCTCAGTTCGCAATAAGCGGGGGAGGCGAGGAGGCAACTTAATTCAAGTCTCCAGCTGCAGTTAGTTCACTCTACCTCAGATTCACAGACTTTTTTCATAATTTGTCTAAGGGTCTGAGAGCGCTCTGTACCTTGGATGCCCCACTCTCTTCCTAGGGTGGGAGGTGGAGCCACTATGGCCTGCAGACAAACAGTGAACTTCCCCGTCTCAGAAAAGACAACCATCCCCAAAAGGTGGGGTGCTAAGAGGGGACTTAACGGTCGCTAGCCGTGGTGCCCTGCGTCCTGGCGTGAGGAGCGCTGCACAGGGAGAACTTACCTGTAGTAATCCTCCTTGCAGTAAATGCTACCGTCCTTGGCGAAGCAGGTGAGCTCAGACTCGAGCGCCAGCTTACATTCACAGCACTTCAGGCACCTCAGGTGCCACTGCTTGTCCACAGCTAGCAAGTAGTACCTGTCCGAGATCTTGCCCCCGCACCCCGCGCACAGAGCGGGCTTCTCCGGACTCAGCGGGGGCATCCCCTGCAAGGCAAGCAAATGCAGGGCTAAGGAGAGCGGGTTGCGGCACAGCAGTGAGAGCCCAGCACGCAAGGGGACTGGCCAAGGGGCGCAGCCACCGCGCAAAAGCAAACATCGTTAGTAAACCCTTGCAGTCTCTCCCGTTGCCGCTTCGTCCTTTCCTTCGGTGTCTCTCTCGAGCCCGCCTTTGCATCCTTCAGGCACTATGGACCTAAGGACCTCTCAACTGTCCTGGCCTTTGCTCCAGAAAGACTGAGCGCTTCTTGGCAAGAGTTTGGTAGGTGTTCCCCAAAATAGAATACTTACAAACTGAACTTTGTGGCTGCAAAAATACATAAAATAAAATAACATACTGTTATGGGGAAGTGGAAAGGAAATCTGAACTAAGTCAAAAATGCTTGTACAAAAACCTAGAATTCTTTCTTTAGTTTTGTTCAGGTTGCGACAAAGTACAAATCCAGGAAAGTACTCTATCAGTGCTCATAAGTTGGTCGGCACTGTTTTGGTTGGGATATAAGTAGCAGATCCTTCTGTTCACTAATTTTCAGGGCTGTTGGTTTCTTGCCTCATGAGAAAGGGTGCAAAGTGGCTGGTCTGAAAGATGGACCATTGTCCAGTCCCCTCAGCACAGTGCCTCTTTCTCAGGCATCAGCATAAACAGGAAAATCCTGGTCCCAAAACATCTTATGTGGTGCCAAAATGAAGCCTCCCGTCGGGCTCCCACTAAGGCGACGGAGGATGGCAAATCTCGCCTTGTAGAGCCCAGCCCCGGGTTTGGCTGTTGCCTTTTATTTTTAAATAGGAAAATCACACAAAGGGAAACAAATTAATCCTTAAACATTCCCCTCAAAACTACTGGAAGTGGGTTGGAGGTTTTCACGAAATTTTGGCGGGCCTAGCAAAGTAAAAGTTTTGCTCTTTACTTGGATTAGATACATGCACTGAATTAATGTCTCAAACGAAGGTACATCTACCCGCTCTGCTATCTGGCACCACCAGCCAGGCTGAAGTGGTCTCCTGGGTAAGTCTGAGCACCAGTTCCCCTTGTGATACCAGAGCATTTACGTCCCACAGCACTGTTTGGCTGGGGTCACTTCCGGAGACTTCGGTAGTTCTCTCCCTCTGGCTCGTAAGTGGAAAAGAGAAGCACTTAGATTGTGTATTTTGTAAGAGGACGTGACTTTTGTTGTTTTAAGTACTAGTGGTGGTTGATTACTTCATTTAAAGGTTAGAAAGTTCTTGCATTTGGAGTAGTTCCCCTGCTCCTACGCAATTTTTCTTTGATTTCCCCCTCCCGGCTAACTAAAAAGGCAAAATTGGGATGCACAGGACTGTAAAGCTCTAGGTTTGGGACGCTGAGCCTCACACGTTTGGAGAACTGGAAAAGAGCCGGTGAGATCTAGGTCCCAGCCAAAGATCCCATCCTCGGGGCCAGGGACTAAGGCCACCAGGCTCCTGCTTGGCCCAGGCTCCTGGACTGCAAGGGGTCCTCCTATTTCCTGCGCCCAGCTTTCGCTTGGGGCTGCTGATCCCTGCCAAGGATACACCCGGAATCTAGAGAGATCGGAAGCGGGAGCTTGAGGTTTACATAAGAGGAGGCCCCTAGCTCACACTGCTTGTCAGAGAACAGTTGTTACCCAGGATTGTTAGCTTGGGGTTGGGGGAGCGTAGGCGCTGGAAGTCAGAAAGGGAGCTTTAGCGCAGACCTAGGTGGAAAAGGGAGAAAACCCAGCGGACGTCCTCAGGCAACCTTCCCCATAGCCCGCCAACCCCAACCTCGGCGACCCGGGAATCCAGGCTCATTTAACAGCGCTCAGGGCGGCGGGCTACTGCTCGCAGGGGCCGGTCCTTACCGCGTCGCGGCCGTTGAGCTGAGTGCCTTTGGCCAAACGGGCCTCGGTCTTGGATCTGCGCTCCATCTCTTCCATGATGCCCTGGATGTGGCCTCCGGAGATCCCGTGGAAGAGCATGGCTGGGGGGCGGAAAGGACAGGAGTTGCCTTCTGCTCTACACCCCACTATTTCCATAAACACTCGCCCAGGACTCTCAGCTCATCCGAGTGAAGGAGCAACCGGTACCGCAGAAAGCTGCGAGGTGGAGAAGCGCAAGGACAGAGCGCCAGAGGAAGAAAGCCAAGAAGAAAGAGGCAGACAGAGCAGAAATAGGTCTATTTGGGAAGAAAAGGAGAGAAAAAAAAAAAAAAAACCCTTAAAAATCTGTATAGTTCTGGAGATGTGGCTTAGTGGCAGAGCACACGTCTGAACTCCAGTCACGCCGCAACATCTCGTGTAGAAAAGGAGAGAAAAAAAAAAAAAAAAAAAAAAAGCGATGAGGAGGGGATAAAGCTTTAGCGGTTCCCAGAAGGAGATGTGTAGAAAACAAACACGGGCGGAGGGGAAAAGGATAGAACGCGAATCTTTTCTGCGGTGAGAGATCGACTTACTAATGGAAAACAACTGCGGGGGTGGAGGGGGGGGAGACAAAAATCTGGTGAAGCAAGAAAATAGTTTAGAACACAAAGAAAGAAAATGAAGTGCTATTTTCAGCGGTCCCTGGCTGCTCGCAAGTTCGCAGTGCCTATGGGTTGGGTAGGGGACTGCTCCTTGCCGGAGCTGTGTCCAATTTGTTAAGAGACTAAAGCCAGCCCATTTTTGATAATTTAGTAGGAGGAGTTCTCTCCCTGGAGCTGCCACGGATTTTTATTCAGACAACAAAGACCTGTCATACTCCTCTCAACCCCCTGGTGATGGGCAAGCAGGGACAAACATTACAAAGGGGTGGGGGGATGGAGGGGAGAGGCAGGAGGAGGAGGCATTCGCCTCCCCACAATACGCCCGTGTGCGTGCTGGCAAGGCGTGCACGCGTGCGCGCGGGGGCACACACACACACACACACACACCCCACATATCCTTCCAAGAGTTCTCAGCAGTCAGGCTTTAAAGGGGAAAAGGAGTCTTTGTTTTAAAAGGGGAAAGGAGCCCTTATTGTCCGCACCCTGATGCAGGAGGCTGAGAGCTTGTCCATTTGATCCCAGTTCAAGATCAGACCCTGGCTCAGAGCACACGGAATATCAGCTCCAAACTTAGTTTGCTCCCTGTAGACTTTTTCATCACTCAAAATGTATAATGATTGGGCAGAAATTCAAGGAGTTTGCTGAAGTGGAGAACTGAACGCTTGTTCCTTTCTTCCCCATCCCTTGTCTTCAACTCAATTTTTGAAAGCAGCTGAAGATTTAGTTCATCTTTTGGCCTCACTGCAATAAGAGCCTATGACCCTCCAAGTGTCCTCTAAAGTAAAAAGGGGCTTGGAGCACCTACCTTTCTGCGACACACTTTTGGTGAAAAGAGTTTCTTATTAGAAAAAAAATAGATAGCAGGGACCAGGATGTGTTCTTGCAGATGTGATTATGCAACAGGATCTTACCCATTCAATATTATTCTTATTACTGAAGTTTGAAAAAACTGCTGGAGATTCTAGCATCACATTTGACACTCATCAACAGGGGAAGGGACTCGGCATGATGAACTTGGCTTCTGCCCCTGTAGGTCCAGGCACTGACCCACTGCATGCCGTTCCCACTACCCTCACAAAACAGGGAATTGTAAAACTTGGCACCCCACACACTTAGGAGGGCATGAGAGGGACGCCTCGTTGTGCAGGACAGAAAGGTGAGAACTGACAAGCAGAATGGCAGAGCTGGTCCTCACAAGAGATGAGATTGTTCTATAGCCTATAGCCTTCCATTCCTATTGGGGCAGTCCCTCCCTGCCTGGCCCCTTTAAAAAGTGTCCACAATACCCAGATATTGTGGATTCATTCAAGCATCTAGAGGTCCAGTAGGGCCCTGAATCAAGAGGCAAGGACAGGAATAAACCCTGCTTTAGCCAAAGAGAAAAGGAAGCCTGAACGCCCTCTGCTCCTTGATTCCTTCCACTCCCAGCCAACTTGCCCAGGAGCACCTCGGGCTTACTTCCTGACACATCCTGGAAACTTTAGAGGAGCCTCCCAGTGGCAGACCCGCTTCCCTCCACCCGGGGGAGCCCCAGGCAGAGCTGTAGCCAAATCTAAAGAGATGAAAGGAGAGAAGAAGCTAGGGAAAGAAAGAAGGAAGGGGAAAGGAAGGGAGACAGAAAGAAAAGAGCAAGCGTAAGAATGAGAAGGGGAAGGAAGGGGGAAAAGGAAGGAAGATGAGATGGAAGGAAGGGAGGGAAGAAGATAGGAAGGCCACCCCTGGTGTGGTGTAGCAGCCTGACTTCCTGTCCCAAAGCATCTCCCTCCAAGGCTGCTGGAGTTGCCTCTTCTATGAAACCCAAGACCCCAGTGCTTCCCCTCCCCCCCCTTTTTTTTTTCTTTCTCAGGGTCAGAAATAATGTTATTTGCAGACTGGCCACTTGTAAGGTCCTCTGGGTGCCAGAATACAGCTCATAAAACACAATTTCACACAAAAATGAAGCCAATCAAGTGAACTAAGCTGGAGACACCCCCCGTGCACTTTGGCAGCCCTACCTGACAGCAGGGCGGCTATTTACTGTAAGTAATGTAATTAGCCCCTTTGGATGGAAATCAATGAGCTTTTCAAACCCACGTGCACACAGGAAGGGCCCTAAGGAGGGGCTGAGGGCCGGAGCCCTTTCAGAGACAGCAGGTCCTCTCACAAAGGGGCAGATTGCCTGCACAGGAGTCAGCAGTTCACTCTCTCAGTGCTGCCCTGTGTGTGTGTGTGTGTGTGTGTGTGTGTGTGTGTGTGTGTGTAAATACAGAACCGTAGCCCACTTTGTCCCATTTCTGTGCTAAGTGCTTTCCCACTGTCAAATAAGATATTCACAATTAAGTGTGGTGGTTGTATTGTGGTCCTACTCAGCATAAAGAGCTTTTTTTTTTTTTTTTTAAATCTAGGAACACCACTTTTTCCATGTAAGAGATGAAACTTTGAATACTTCCTGAAAGGAAAACTTAAACAACTCTTGGAAAAGGCAGAACTTTCTGAAGAGTCTCCAGGGAAGCAAAGTACAGAAGAGCTGTAAGCCTTCTAATCATTCATCCATTCATCTAGTCCACACACAGTTTTAAATCATCTATCAGGCACTGAACCTCCTGCAATCAGCTTCCCAGCTGAATCCTTAGTTATGACTTCTTTCTTCTAAAACTTCAGTTATAAGTTCCATGTGCCCATTGGGATTTGCTACTTCCCGTAAAGAAGGGAACTGCCAGGACTCTTCCTGCTCAGAGAAAGCAGGAAGTCTGCAGAAAGCTGGTGTGGGGCCAGGTCTGCTGGGGTTTGGGAGGTCCTTGCTAGTGCTGCGGAGATAGCTCCCCACTACTTAGTCCTGGTCCTTCAGTTTCTCCAGAAGAGGAGGCCCAGGAGATGTGAGGGGATGGCTTTCCAAACTGAACTGGGTGTGTGACCCAAGGTGTACTAACCTTTCTGCCCTGGAGCCCTGAAGGATTGCTTACAGGCTTCCCCTCTCCCCACACCCAACCGCAAAGGACCCTAAGCTCTATAAATCTGGATTGTGTCTTTGTTTCCTTGCCATGTTTCACCTAGAAGGGAAGCGTTCTGGTCTCCCAGATTGGGGCTGAAAGACCTGCAAGTGTTCTATAATGATTGGAGCACTCCTGGGGCTAAATCCCAGCTCCTTCAGTGGGACAGGTGCTGGAGGCAGGGTGGGGGAGGGGTTCCCCTCTGGATTTAAAGCATCCTTACAAGCAATGGGCACATGCAAGCCATTGGGCTTGATTTACTGTCTGCTGCACTAGAACCCTTGTGGCTACTGTTGCTGCTTTCAAGAAAGCAAGAAAGAGACTGAACTCTGGCGGAGCACAGGATTTTAGGTGGAGTTCCAGAATCTAGAATTTCCTTTAGGGTTAATGAGAATCGGATGTCCTTATCCTAGGCAGTTACACCTGAGAAAAGTGCCCAAGCCCAGTCAAACTCTCCAGAAGGAAAGTAAAGGGTCATGTGGCTTTGCCCAGGGACCAGATGGCACTTAGGAGTAACTCCCAAATGTGAATCTCTTGATGACATAGGTGACTCAAGTTTGCTTTCCACCAGACCTGAATTTTGAGGCCATAATCCTGTGCCCCTTTGAGTCTGAAAGATGCAGCGCTTAAAATCTTGTCCAACTTTTGGCATTTTCAGGGGCACCGCCAAAGCCTCGTGAGCTAGGAACCGCGAGTTCAACCCGGCGCCACTGGCTTTGAATGTCGGGCCTGTGCTGGACCGAGAAGAGAGGACCGCCAAGAGGTGCCTTTCTGTTAACAGTGGAGACAGACTGCTCTACATACAAACCTTTTCCAAACCGAAATGGGCACATTCAGACTGGTGCAGCCACATGGGTGCAGCTCAGATGCACTCGGGAAGCCATCCCGATCCACGGCAAGGGGAGCGCGATTGCTTGGAGACTCAAGGACCGCACCCCAGCTGCGCACCTTAAAGAGCTGCTGGCTCCGCTGGTCTGGGGTCGGGGACCAGCGGGTCCATCTACCAGCTCTACGTCCACACACACCCCCTGCGTGCCCAGTGCCAACCAGCGACCACTGCGTGCTGCCTTCAAGTCCATGCCCTCCTTGCCCCCTGAGCTTGTCTCTAACCGCTCAGCCCCTAGGTCTAGAATATCTCTTTTCTGAAATCTGCCTGAGAGCCAATGAGCCACTGCCCACCTCCCACCTCCACCCCCAAAATAGTGAATCCTACTAGGCTCTTCTGAGACTATGCGCAGAAAAGGCTGCGCTTGACTAGGATCGAACAACTACAAATGTGTGTGAAGGCAGTTTTCAGTCAAACCCCAGAAGATGAGGAAGGGAGTCTTTCCTGCCTGTCCCCTACTGTTTCCAGCGAGGAGGCGCCCACAGCAGCTCCGCGAGGGTCGGAAGGGCGTCCCGCGCCTGCAGCTGCCGCAGGCTCAGTGGCTCCATGACCTCTGCCTGGCGCCGGGACCCCGACCCGTATCCTGAGGAAAGTCAAAAACATTCAAGAGAAGGACAAAAGGAAGCAAACGCAGGTATTAGGAGTCTGGTCTGTCAGAAGAATCTGAGCCAGATTCTGCATTGGAACCTTGTTAGCCTTTACATACATACAGAGAGAGAGAGAGAGAGAGAGAGAGAGAGAGAGAGAGAGAGAGAGAGAGAGAGAGAAGCTATCATGCACTCCCAAGAAGAAGAACGAGATAAAACGAAAAGAAACCTGGTCTACAACTCACCTGCCTCTAGAGTGGTGCCGTTCAGCATTCTTCGAGCAGAAACAGTTGATCGCGCCGTTAATGGTGGTTGCACTGATAGTGAAAAGCCGCGCATCAGCCGGGCAGTGAGGCCGGGTCCCCCAAGCACTTCCTCCCGCCTTGATGGGGCTGTCGGAACCGCTGGTCCCGCAGGGACCTCAGGCACCGACGCGTCTTCGAGCAAAGCTGAGCTTTGCTCCGGGGAACTCCTGAGACGCCCGAGCTCCTGGCCGTTCGGGCGCGCTCCGAGCACAGGAAACTGCTCCAGCTCAGCCACCCCCATCGGGATCTTACCTTGATGTCCAGATGTCAGATGTTTTCCCCCAAGAATTTGGTGCTGGGCACTGGCAGGGCGGAAAATGGTGGCCAGAGGTTCGGGCCAGTCCCCAAGTCTCGCCAAAGGTCCCTCTGTTAACGCAAACAGATAAATAAATACACTGAGGACCACTGGATGGAAATCCATCCCCCATCAGAACTGACCTGAATGCCTCACCTCTGACCTTCGGCTCCCTCCACCTGTCTTTTATTTTCTGTTTATGCTTTTAAATTGGACGGAGGAGGAGGGAGGACGGGGCAGAGGGTACGACGTGGGCCGGTACCCGCGACGCGCTCTGAAGCTAGCGCAGCCCTTACAGCCTCTAAATAATCAGAGGAGGTGTTAATGGAGGACTCGGCGGTAACCGAGCCTCATAAAGCCGAGAGCCTCTAGAATCCAGGCGCAGCCGGGAGTAGGCTGGGGGCTGGAGTCCCGCGGTGCGCCCTGGGCGTCTGGCCCCCTAGTCCGCCTTTGCCTTCCAGGAGCTGGAACCTAAAAGATGCTGCCGCCAGCTGGTGGCCGCATAGACGGTGAATGGGCGGTAGCTCCTGCGCGAAAACTGGGCTAAGCCATTCACCACTGCTCAGCCACCTCCTCCCTGCCTCCCCGTCAGGGTCGCTCCTCGCTCTCCGCTCACAGCACTCTTAACCAGGACCAGCGCGCTGCAGAGCATTTTGTGCTCTAGGGCGGAGGTCCCGCACCGGTCAGAGCGCAGCCCGGGCAGCGCTCCAGCTCAGGCTGCTACTAGGGGCTGGGTGACGATGAATCTTCTGGAACAAGACCTGCACTCAAACCCCGTCAGAGGAGTGTTCGCAGGGATGGACTCGGACCCGGCACGGGGCAGGGGTCCTGTTACCTGGTCTCGGGTTCTGGAGGCGCTGCGTCGCCCCAGGAGGAGTCAGGCCGCTGGAAGTGGAGGCAGAGTGGGGAAGCTGGGCCTCTGGCCAATTATTTACCCACTCCGCACCAGGTGCGCCCCTCGCCCAGGGAGATGGGGAGGTGCGCGATTACTGTTGGGCTCCGGAGCCAGTGGGTAAGGGGGTGTGAGAAGTGAGATTGGCAGCTTCAAGATGCTGGTCCAGGTGACGGTGGCGCGCTCTCTACCCGCCTCCCCTCTGCCCTCTACCACCGTAACTGTTCCACGGCTGTGCGTGGGCTAAGTGTTCAGTGCGCAGAGAATGTGATGGACCAGGAGCGCCCATGCGCATCCCACAATTCAGGGGCCACAACGCGGGATTGGGACGACACCTGGGCAACGCGGGACGGAAGCAACCACCCTGCAATCTCGCTGGCTACAGTTTAGTGGAGGGAAAGGCTAGCGCAGGAAGCACAAATCTGAGGCCCTCCTGAATATCGCACACAGCAGTCGATACAGAATCTCTGTTTCTACCTTGGCCTCAGAACTAGAACTCTCCCCACCAGCCATCTCAGAGGTTTACCTTTTATGCTTCCTGTCCTAGACTCTCCCCTTCCCATCTTGGCCTCAGCTCTTTCCTCCACTGTTTCTGCTGTCGGTTTGTGTTCCCTTCCAGGAAAGGATCCAGCTCTGGGCTTCACCTGCTAAGCCTTTCAGTGAGGCCATGGAGCAGGTGGAGGGTAGCGACAACCCCAGAATGCCTGGGTGCTCTCAGCTCAATCTTGCGTAAGCAGCAGTCTTAAACCTCTTTTAGCTCCAAGGCTCTTAGGTGTTTGATAATGATATGCATTCTGCACACATGCACACACATGCACTGAAGCACACATCTGAACTCATACTTTAGTACGCAAATTTCAGGTGGATGTGGGTGTTAGGGATCTTCAAATCTCCCTACAGTCCACACCCTCTGGGCTAACCTTGGCTTTTCTACTCTAAGCCCAGCAAGCATGGCCCTAAGACTGTCCTTTTGGTGTCAGGAATCCTAAAGCAAATCTGTGGGGATGAGGGTCAGCACAGCACTCAGGCACATGTAGGGCCCCAAAGGTCCAGAGTAGACTGGGAGCTCCAGGGACAGCCCAGTCTCTGGCTGAAGACAGTAAAGGCTTCTTCTGTCACTGTCTTTCCTCAGAAGTCACATTCTCCAAGGTTGATCAACAGGCACACACTCCAGCACAGAATATCTTATTTTTTTTTTTTTTGTTGTTCGTTTGTTTTTGGAGGGAGAAAATAGTTTTAGCACCAAGGAGTAGCTCTTAATTGTTTCAGTGAAAAACAAAATAGCACAGAGTTTTAAATCTTCTTCCTCCCTGGACATGTGTCAGCCTACAAACTCAAGCTGGGATGTAGAGAAGATGAATAGCAGAAGTAGGGACGGTGCGGAGGGCAAGGCTCCCCATGGGCTGGCCAGGGGCTGTGCCCACAGGAAGTGCCATTTGTCTATGGTATGTAGTGAGCCCACTTCCCAGCCTTGTCTAGAGAAGAATCTAAGGCCCATAGGCTTTGGGCAGTAAAACTGCACCACTGAAACTGTACCACTGAGGGGAGGAGAAACTGCTGAAGAAAAAAACACTTTCCAGGTCCCATCCAAAGCACACCCTGTTTGGGAGCCTCTCTTAAAAATAAAAGCTCTCCTCTTCCTTGCTAGCTGAAGAAGTATAACCTCAGGTTTTGTTAGACCATCCGTGATAGAAACAAACTAGAAATCAGGCTCCCTCGATTCATTGCTCCTGGGGCAGGAGTCTCTCCAGAAACCTTGAAAGTAGGGCAGCATGAGTTGATTTAAATGGGAAGTCTCTATTTCCCAGCAACCACATGTGTTTGTGTACAGACACCTAATAAGAAACCTGCATTTTTACTTTACAATGTGTGAATACAATATAGCTTAAAGCTTTTTGCAGTAAGATCTATTTATGTGGCCATATTGTGTTTAATGTGGGAGCACTGCCTGGCTGCCACCCTGATGTGTGGTTCAAGTGCATCTCTCCAGACCACTGTGAACTTCAGACCTTCGCTCCTGCCCTGCTCCCTGACCAGTAGCTCCTTTGGGCACTTGCCACCAAGGTTCGATGTTCTGCCAAGAATGACAAGTGTTTCCCATTTGGGTCCTTCATGGTGGCTTATTCTTTTTCTTTAGAAAGATGAACTTTTAGGGCTGTTCTCTTCTTGAGGTTGGTGAAGAAAGCATCATCCACCCTTCATCCAGAAAAGGGCCTTGTCTGTCTTCAATTCTAGGGGGAAATGTGAAAATAGCTGCCTGCTTCTTGACCTATGAATGGAAAAGAAACGGACCTGCCTGCACTATTGTGCCTTTCTGGAAAGGTTAGCTGCCTCCACAGTCACAGTGCTGACCACTTTCTCCTACTTCCTCCCCCCCCCCACCGCAAAGTAATTTGTGGATTGACAATTTCAGTGAAAAGCATGGCGCTTTTGAATGTAAGAAAGCTGCTGACATCTCATATGGCCAAGCAAAGGGTTGCTTAGGGCAACACGGTTAGAGTACCAGCAGGACTAGTGCCAAAAACATCAACAATTTTTGGAAGCAACTGAGGTCTTTGAGAACCTTTCAGATTCCACCAGGAGAAGGCAGAAGGTCTGCTCCAGGCAAGGTGTCTTTCCTAGGAGGTAGAAGCCTCTTTTTACTGAACATCAGCCAGTGGCTAGGAAAGGGTGTCCTGGGGACCACTATCTTCATGCTGAAACAGAAAAGGTGTGGAAAAAACAGTCCCTGTGAGTTCTTGACTCAGCTTGGGGACTGATGCCTCCTGGAAACATCATCACCACAGTGAATGGAACAAAGACAGATCTGCCTGGCAAGTGGCAAAAGAAATGGAAGAGGAAAGAAGAAAGATGGTCAATAACGTGTCTTCAGCAGTCCAACCTCCAAGTCAGTGTGATTTAAAGGTTTTATTAAAAGTAGAGATGAAAGATGAGAGCATTTCTTGGGCACTCATATGCTTCAAAAACTTGCATCATATCACTCTCCTAATACTCAAGATATAAATCACATGAACAAATAACCTTCTGTTTGCCAGCAACTTCCCTTGGCTGCTAACACTGATAAGAAAACAGTAGAGAACCAAGGCTAAAAGACGTCAAGAGCTACCCATGTGATCTAATTGCTACTTGTATTTAACAGAATGGTCATTATTGTCTTTCCTCAACATATGTGTCTGATAATGAAGAAAAAAAGGAATAATTATCACTGTGCTACTTCAAAACACATATTTGTTAGCTTTTCCATTGATGTTCTTTTAATATGGGTATTTCAGATGAGAAATACCCATATTAAATATTATATTACAATAAATAGAACACAGAAAGTAATTCTGAATTAGACATTTATTTTTAAGTACATGTTTAATCAGAGAACAGAGACAAAAATCATTGTCAAACATAAAAATATGAATTGAATTGCTTCTTTTTAGATGGATCCTTAACATTGACTTGACCGTATGGACACTGCAGAAGAAATAAAGCATATTATTAAATGACTTAACAATTATTTTGAAAAAGCACACTTCTTTTCAAGTGAAAAAAAAAGATTGTTAAGAACATTATATAGATCATTTGCTCTATCAAGTGTTGTCGACCAAGAAGAGAAGAACAGCAACTTTCACAAATGGTCCTAATTAGGGTTCAAGAACCATTTCCTAAATGCATCCTTCCAACTTTAAGAATTTTACTGTCAAATATCTACTTAGAATATCCCAAGTCTTCAATTTACACAAAGCTATTATGCATTTGATTAGAAACAGCATTCATTGCACAAGTAGGACTATACATAAAAGTGAAGGCTGAGTTTTTCAATAAGGCTGCAGTAAATATATACACTTAGTGTCTATTCTTTAATTAAGAAGCCATTCAATTAAAGGAAGTAATCCTTTCTTGCAACAATCCATATAAAATGTTCTATAAACAGGTTACTGGTTTATATCTCAACCCTATAACAATTTCCCTTAATGTTATGTTTTTAATAGTAAAAACTCATTCATATTTATTTGCCAAAATAGGGAAGGAGGAACTAACTTATTTTCAGCAATAATTATAGAGATATTACCAATTGATATAAAATTATTAGGAAATGTATAATACTAAATTTGGGGAAACTGGGCTTTGTAGTTGCTTTTAAAGTAAAGAACTGGAAAAAAAAGCTAGAGAGGGAAAGGGAGGGAGGGAGACCGAGAGGGGAAGGAGAGTAGAAGGGATTGGCAAGAAGGGAAGGAAAGGAAGGAAGAAATCTTTATCATTTGAAGGCAACCCACCTTTCACTTCTTCAGGCTGGGCTAATTTCTATTTATTCAGCTAATAATGAAGAAAATGCTTCTTGGGAACTAGGTTGCCACATCCTTGATTCCTTTTCCTACCTTCTTTGTACCTGCCTAGTGAATATAACTTATTTGGAACCTCATGAAAAGTTTGCTTGTAATAAAGGGCTCCCATGAATTTCTAGTCACAGCATTTTTAGGGACTGATGCTTACCATGAAACATTACAAAATTCCATTAACTTTAAAGGTCCTATGTTGGTACTAAGGACTTCATTGTCCTTGGCTGAAGTAGCTTGTGAAAAGTGCACTCCAGGTCTATTTGGCTCTTTTATTTGACTTGTTGTTCAAATAACAGGTCTTTATGAAGTTATAGCAGCACCGCAAACTGCTATTACAAGGCAAATTGTTACTCACGTGTCTGCAGGCAGAGCCACAGCAGGCGCCCCTCTGCAAGTGGGCCAGCATGGTGAGCACCATGAAACCAGTAGCTGGGTCCACATAGTTTAACTGGCCAGCCTAAAGGGTAAGCAAATCACATGATCCAATCATCTCAATACTCATCCTGTCTCCTCAACACAATTTCTATTCCTAAGGTACTGGAAAACATTGTAAAAAACTATTATACTTCTTCCCATCAATTTCAGTGGCGCGTTCAATGAAAGATTGAATGCATTCCAACATGTACTATGATCCAACTTTATGTGACTACAGGAGAAAATACACAAGTTGAGAAAATGAGAAGTTGATGGAAAAACAAGAACTCCTCTATACCCAGTAACTATTAGTGACTGCTCTGATATTTTTCAGTCAGTTTCTAGGTAGCAAGCTTAATAACAGGTGATTTAAGTGATTTTAAGAGCTTAAGAGGCTGAGAATGGACTTTTACTCAGAAGTTGCAGTTGCAATTTCAGTACTTAAAATATGTGCATAATGATTTAGACTTACAGAAAAGGTGCTAATCAAAACCAACAGTCCTTATAGAAAAGTATTACTTTTGCCATTATTAAACACTTTTCTTTACCTTCATAATGTTACTCCATTGCATATTTTACACTTTTTCTAGAGTGTTTTAAATTTTAAGTAAAAAAGTTGTTTTAACGTATTAAGAATTGTTGCTTTCTCAAAGTTTCATCAAAAGCAACTTCTAGAATATTGCTGTAATCAAGGAAGCATTGTTCTACATACATTCACACATTTTTTAAAAACAAGAATTCCAAATGCTTTGTGTGAAGGTAAAAGTAAATAACTTCTGAGACATTTCAGTGATATTTAGTCTTGAAATTTTATAGGGGAATTTTCCTATGGCCTTTAAAAACATAACATTTCTACCACATGTTCTTGTATAGAACCTTTCAATAAAATATACATTAAACTAGCATATATGCTGACATGCATTTTAATGAGTCATGAAAAACTTCTTCTGTAGATCAATGTCTTATTTAGTGGCTAAAGACCAACTGTGTTTTCTGAATAAAGTGAGAAAGAAAGACAGACAGACAGACAGACAGAAAGAAAGAAAATAAATAAATAAATAAATAAGGACTGCTAAGGTTCAAAGTTCAGGTCCAAGTTGCAGCTAAGACATCCAGCAAAGATACTATCAAGGAAGTAGGAACCCAGCAAGCCTCCAGGCTTGTTGTAAAACCGTCCCAAGCACTTTGAGACCACAGGAACAGATTGCAAGGGACTGAATGCCCCACACACTTTAGATGATTTTCCCTTCTTTATTTATAAAGTTCGTGTTGGGAGCTAAACCAAACACTGCGAATAGCACGTGGCCTCCTTCCGCTTTTCATAGTTTCTGAATGACTGGGAGGGCAATTATCTCCCCAACCTAACAGCCAACTCCTGCATATGCTTGTTCACTCTCCAGCTTTGCTCCCCCTTCCCTCCACTGAGAACCTTTGAGCTTCTTGGCTGAGCGTTTCGTATGAGGTGCAAAAGGGTCCCACCCACACAGTGGTGGCAACAAAGATTGATAAGGGCTGTCAGCTGACTACAGAGCAAGATAGTCAGCGATGCACACTGGTTAGTTAAGAGAGCTCTCTTTCTAGAGATGTGTAGAAGAGAGCAGCTCCGGCTGAATAAGAACCAGCAGCTTCTCTTTGTGAGGACTTAGGGTCTCCTAGAAGTCATTTAACTTCTGATACTGATACTCGTGAGACAACTATGGATTTCCTGAGTAAGAAAAGGTTCGTTCCTTTCTTCTTGATGATTGAACCTGGTTTTACACGCTGCTGGTGTTTGCTCTAAAGATGAGAGATTTTGACTTACATTCACAAATCATGGTTAAGTGTGGCAACAAATTACACATGGTCATTTTACAGAAAGTATATAAACAAGATCAACCCCGGTATAGTGCCACACAGTAAAATCCCAGCACTCTCAGAAGCCGAAGCAAGAGGAATCCAAGTGTGAGCCCAGTCTAGACAACTTAGCCACTTTGGGGAAGTCCCTGTCTCAAAATTAAGAAGGGTGGGGGTGCTGAAGCTGTAGCTCAGTGAGTAGGCCCTGGATTCAACCGTCAGTATCAGAGGAAAAAATTTGAAAGTTGCCTGTTGTTTTGATTTACATTTATTCACTTTCAACACTGGAACAGATCCTTTTATCACTGTTTCTTTTGTAAGTGTTATAAAAATATAAATATGCCATCTTCAAACTCATGTCTTATGTGTTGAGAGGCACCGAGTTTAGATGCTGTTGGAAACAAATATCAAATCCACAAAACGTAAGAAAACATAGTTCAAGGCAGTCCAGGATCAAACTCCTGACTATAATTTCCTCTGCTCTCTCAGAGTGCAGAAAGAACAAGAGGGCCACGAAAAAAATTAAAAGAAAATTTGTCCCTTTCTTCTTTTGCATTTTTAAAATCACCGGATAGCAAAGTGTTTAACTGATAACGCAGTTACCATGTTTGCATAGCACATTTTCCGTCAGACTTCAATTACTTAATCTCCCCTCCCCCATCTCACACACACACACACACACACACGGGAATGCGCGCAGTCACTGGTCCCACACTGCGCCCAGGTGATCAGAAAACAAGCCCCACCCTCCCTCAGGACAGTCACAAGGTCAACCCCTAGTGCAGCGCGACGCCACGACCGGGTCTCCAGCGCTAAGGTCCTGGGAGCTGGAGACGCGCGCCCCGCCCTCCCGCCTCGCTGACCCTCCTGGGGGCGTGACCGGGCGCCCGGGGCGCACGCGCACTCGGAGGGGCCGGGGTGGGCGGGACCGCACGGGAGGCTCACCGCGCAGGCGCGCCCGGGGTGGGCGGGGAGCGACGGGAGGCTCACCGCGCAGGCGGCCGCGTGCAGCTCCGCGATCCGCCGCTCCGCCGCTGTTAACCCCTCGCTGCCCGGCCGTCTCGCCGGGCTCTCGGGCCCGTCCTGCGAGCCAGGCGTGGCGCCGCCGCGTCCGCCCTCGGAGGCACCGCCGAGGGTTAAGCTCCGCTGCTGTCGGGGCCTCACGGCGACGCCGAGAGGATGTGGCGGCGGGCCGAAGGGAGCCCGCCCGTGGAGCGTGGCGCCCGCCAGCGCTCGGAGCCGCCCGGCCGCCATGGCCGCTTCCGCCCGTGGGAAGGGCGGGGACGCGAGGCCGCCGCGCCGTGGCGCTCGGGCTCGGCGAGGGGCGGCCGGAAGCGTTCTCGGTCGCGGCTGTTGTCTGGGTCCCGCGGGCCCACCGCCGAGCCCCAGCTCCAGCCCCTTTTCCCTTTTCGTATTTGGGACGGCGTCTCCCTCGGTCGCTGGATTGCCGGGTTCTAGCTCGCTGCGAGCCTCCTGCCTCATCCTCGCGCCTTGTGCCCCCACGTTTGGGTTTAAAGTGGTCTTTTAGCGCTGTAATGCCCAGGGACCGAGTTTTGGAATGCCTGTAACAGTGGAACATAAGTGAAATGTGTTGTCCTCAGGTTCTTCTTTCTTCCAGTCTTTCTAGAGAGCCTAAACTTAATGTAATTTTTTTTTAAATTGGCATAAATGGGTTAAGGCCACCATGAGGCCGGCCACAGGAAGGTGTGTCCGTCTTTCTGTCTCTATAGCTAACTAAGCTAGTCTCCCCCCCCCCCCCCCCGTTATGAAGGTGGTCATGCATTCTTTTCTCATGTCATACTGGACTGGATCATAATCGCCTCCACTGTTAAAATCCTAGGAAGTGTGGCGTCTTACTGACCACCTTAGTTAGACCAACTAGGAAAGGCTGGGTGTTCATTGATGGTGTGTTTAGGAATAAAGGTTGGGAAGCACAGCCTTCAGGCTTGACTCTTTGCCCCTTCCTAGCTTGAAATCCAAAACAAAATTGCACCCTGCATACCAAACGTCGTGTTGCTAAGCTTTTGCACAATCCAAACTAAAATTTTATTACCTGTCTGCAAGATGAAAGCTACCCTGATGCCCCCAAACAATTAAATTCGAGAAAATTAACACAAACCCAAGAAGTGTGCAGGTGTTAGAATTAAATTAACAACCGTCCCTCCCACAGCCCCCAACCTGGGTTTTATGAAGACAAGGGTTGTGTTCTTTTACAGGAAATATTGAGAGCGAGATTGGATCTTTAGGCAGAGCCTACAGTTGTACAGAAGAGTGACTGAGTCGCCACAGATCACTGATTTTTTTTCTACCTTCATTTACCGAGCAACACATAATCCCATTTTGACTCTCACATAACAATCCTATTGGTCCAGTAGAAATCTCAAGGTATTGGATTCCTATTTTGCAAATGTTTCCTTTTTTTTTTTTAATATTAAGTGTTTGTTTAATTCTGGCAGGACTGGGGATTGAACTCAGGTCCTTAGCGCTTTGCCAGGAAAGCTCTTATTCTACTGAACCTTCTCCCTGGACCCTTAAGTGTTTAAATCTGGTAGTCTAAGGAGAGGATTTGGGGAAAGCTATGGAAAGATGACACAAAACTTGAAATCACCAACAATGAAAAATTAGAAATGAGAATTCACAAGTTGGCTCCACTTCCCCACCATATAGCAGAGGAGATAAGTTTAGAAGTATATTGCACTATTTTTGAAACTGAAGATTAGAGTATCCTGGCAGGCTATGACATCAAATGATAGAGACAACGTTTTACAGTAATGGAGCAGACAAGAGATTTAAGTGGAAAATGAATAACGCTGTATCACCTGGGAAGTGTAATTGTTACACAAAAGTCGGGAATGAGGGTGGAAGTGCCTAGAAAGGGACTGAACAAAGGAGATCTTTGTACTAAAATAGTTATATATTTTGATCATGATGGATACACAGATTTGCTTGTGATGTCACAGAACTATACACACATTGCCTCAATATCAAGTTACCATTTTTCATATTGTAGCATAAGTACATAAGCCTTAGGAGACACTGGGTGAGGTGTATAAACATCTCTGTACCACACTTACAACTTGCTAGTCATCTATACTTATTTTAAAATTTAAAATGATTTTTAAAAGGTGTAAAATGGTTTATAGATGAGTGAGGCAGATCACCAAATCCAGCAGAACTTTTTCACTCTGTTCTGTCATTGTGGTGAGTCACAGCCTCTGGGCAGTGGGGCTGAGAGTGCCCCTTTGTACTGCTTGTGCGCTTCCACTCTATACATTTTTTTTCAACACTGGACACTGAGCCCAGGGCCCTATCACTGAGCTACATCCCCACTCCTTAAATTTTGTATTTTGAGACAGATCTCTCCAAGTAACTCAATTGCTTAGACTGAGCTCCAACCTGTGATCCTCCTGCCCCAGGCTCTCAGAGTGCTGGGGTTGCCGCCAGGTACTATCATGCCCAGCAACCCTTGAATGCATAGATAATGTATCTAAGCAAAATTAGAAATCAAATAATAAAAGTGGGAAAGCATCTCGTTACTAATACCTAAATATTTGGGAGTTTAGTTACAATATCAGTTAAACGTTGACTAGATTATCCACCAATCTTCTTGGTTCTCATTTAATCTTCAGAGACTGGCACCTGGGTGTGGTGGCATGTGCCTGTAATCCCAGCTTTTGGGAGGCTGTAAGCAGGAGGATCACTACAAGTCCCATCTAGTAGTGAGACCCTGAAGACTCTGTACGCCTGTCCTAAATACAAAAAAAAAAAAAAATCTTCAGAGACTGAAATATGACATCAAGCAACTGTCTTTTGTTGTACTTCTTATTTTTATAAGTCTCTTCAGTGATTTGTCTTTAGCTTAGTCTAATGTGTGTTCATTTCTCAGATTCTCTGCACTCACAGTAGACAAAAAAATATATGAAAGTGAGGTATTCAACTCCACTATGGAATGGTAGAATAAATTCTCATTTTTACTTACACAGCATTTACATCTAGTCCTGCTCTGGAAAGAGTTGATTTGTATTACAATTCTGCATGTAACACAATACTGGACATTTCCCATTATTTGGGGTATTTATATTGATACTGAACATGCTTGTTATGTTGAGAGGGTGGGTTTCATGAAAGTGTATTCACCTTGATTGCATTTATATCACTTTGTAAATACATATGTTACATCTCTCTTGGTTTCAAGATACATATAGATGGCATAACTGAATCTGTTTACAGACTCAGATAAAAGGAGTTTGCACACGTAATTATGAAGCATAACTTGATTCAAGGCTGTGCCTAGTGCTCAGGTCTTTCGTTTTTCTGCCTTGCCTCTTAGGTGCTAATTTCCTTTTCTTACTGGCGAAAGACAGCTGCCAACAGCTCCTGGAGAATCATCGTTTCCCTTCTTATCCAGGTTTAAAAAAAGAAGAACCTTCTCTATCAAGGCCCAGGATAACAGCAGCCATTGTTTACTCCTCCTGGCATTCTTAACAGCCATGGATTTATTTCTGAAGCAATCTTACAAGTACAGATTCTACATAAGTCAACTCAAGGCCTATCCTAGATCTGCCTTTGATCCGCCCACACCCTGGCTGACAGTGGGCTGCATTAAAGCTCCGGCTGCAGTTAACAAGTAGCCACTTTGTGACTTTCAAAATCAATTTCACAAATAATAACATAAAAAAATCAATTTCACCAGCACTCCCAGTCCTTTTAGAACTTTGTATTTCAACTTGCATCTTTTGAAAACTTTCTGCTGTACCTCTAGTTCCCCTAGGGAAGTCTTTCCATTGATCTCACAATTATTTGTTTCACTTTAGCTTTTCTTATATAGTAATTTTCTGGTGCTTTTTCCTCAAATATAATTAACAAGACAAGAAGGAATGTGTCATTTTTGTCTCTATATCTGCACAGCCATCCTGTAATTTGCTTATAATACCCTGGCACATAGTAGATAATGTGTAGTGGGTTTTTGACTAAGTGAGCTAGTGATTCTTCATTCTCAAGCATGTATTCAGAACTACTGGACATAAATGCCAGGTAAATTTTTTTCTTTTTTAACTTGAGAAGGATTCTTTTTTTTTTTTTTTTGGCTGGCTCAGGCTGCCTTAAGGGTGGGTCTGGTGTGACATGTGGAGCTGGGGATCGCAACGAGGTCCCCTGCACCTGACTGAGTTTGCCCAAGCGGGCACTTTAAAGAACTGAGCCAACCTGCAAGCCCCCGCCAGGTGAAATTTTAAATTAATTTTCTCTACCTATTATTGCATACTTGAAACTATTTATGTATCTGTTGTTTCAAATAAATGTTTTGAAAAAACTAATCAGGGCCAGCTAGATAGCTCAGCAGATTAAAGCACTTGCTTAGGCAGATGCAGGGACCAGGGTTTGATCCCCCCCACTATGCTGTGCCAGTCCTGCCTCTGGGGTGCGCTGAGAAGGCCATTGAGAATGGACGTAGTGGCATGGGCCTGTAATCCCAGCACTTGGGAGGCTGAAAACAGGAGGATCGCTATGAGTCTGAGCTACGTACTGAGATCCTGTAGACCTTGTACTAAATACATTAAAAAATAAAAAGAACTAAACCAAAAGAAATATTATATCTGAAATCTTTTTGCGTTATTTTACTGAAAAACAAGACAGTTGCATACATTATCAAATGATCTGCTCTAAGGCCTTGAAATACTGTTTTTAATTGACTTTAAGTGTTAACTTTTAATAAATCATGAATAAATTGAGTTGTTCATGGACAAATTAATGCTGGAGCCATGGAGCTACCTGCAGATTTCATGTCCCTCTATTGCCTGTTTTCCTCAGTTCCTTTTGGGCACCAATTTATATATTTGATGTTTTTCAACTAGCCAAATGGTGTGCTATGACATGTTCCGTGCCCCTCGTAGACTGCATTTTCACTATCAATTGCTATGATTGAGAGCAAATGTTACATGCCCCTAAGGTTGCCTATGGGGAATCTTCTTCTCACTTAATCGGACATCCAATAGCACACTTTGTTTCACAGAGCTGGTCTTAGAAAATTCTTTGGGGAGTTATAATCATTTCTGTTTTCAAGCCCAGCAAATCTCAGCTGACTCCACAGGGATGTTACTTCACCTACACTGCTTGCCTAGAGCACTGCAGCATTTGGCTCTTATCTTTCCATTCTGTTTTTGTTATCTTGGAAAGTGTGGATGGGGTATGTAATGTGATGTAATCTAGCCATCTTGTATCCTCCTCCATCCTTTCTCTCAATCATCGTGTAACAAATGTTT